CTTGGCGGTGTCCAGAGGGAGGAGCCCCATAAGCTCAGGGGTTTTAAGCATTTAATTACGGTCAGATGAGCATTTTTAGATACCTCCTTTGTGACACTGACAGGTCACTCATTCTTTCTTTTTCTCTTTAACATACTTTTTCAGAAAAGTGAGAGTGGCTCAAGCCCGGAGCCCCTGCCATTTTGCAGATCCTGACATAAAGGCTTTCAAATAAGCATATTTTTTTCCTAGCTGGCTGTAAATTTGTAATTTTCCAACAAACGCTTAAAAAAGTATAAGTATAAGAAAAAAATTAGAAAAATCCAGGAAAATCATATCATTTCAGCGACATTTGTAAATCACTGGTATTGAATAAGAAATAAACCATGTTTAAATTTTATTTAGGGGGGAACTCCCCCCCCCCCCAATCAGTACGCCAGTGTTCAGGGGTTCATGTCTTATCACCCCTATCATAGCGTGTATTGCTATTATAAAATCCTACATTATTAATTGATGAATATAGGGGAACGCGGAATGAAGGAAGTTTAAATCCTTGTCTTTGATCGGAGTAAAATTGTGATTGTGATCAATTCATTTTTTATTTTACTTTTGGTTAAAAAATACAATCCATTTTTACTCTTTTACAGCTGTTTTTTTTTTTTTTTTTTTTTTTTTTTTTTGGGGGGGGGGCTTTGAGGGCGAAAATGCGGCTCCCCCGCCCTCCCCCCCCCCCTTTTCCCTTCCCCACTTCCGGCGCCCCTGGTTAGGACGAGGAATCACCCCTTTTCCCATCGAAGGCTTGTAGATCTTCAAATTATCATTTTAAGTGGTTGTTCGGATGCCCAGAGGAGTCAAATAACATTGTAAGTTAAGATTGTAATCACTACTTCTTTACATTTCTAAAAAAATGAGCCCAACCCGCTGTTTAAATCGTTTTCGTATGCAGGCTCTGGAGCTCCGACGCCTTCGGGGGCGTAGCTCCCTGGAGCTATTTAAGCAGGTGAGCGATTCGCAAGGCCCAGCACAAAATAACATTCACAATCACACCTCACGGACTCTGAAAAAATACCCAAGTAAATAACGAATTTTAAACCAAATAAAAAAGAGGTTGCCGCAAATGACACCACCGAGTGACACTTACCCTTTCTCAGACGGAAAACTGGCACGATTCCACCCCTGTCAAACACTTTCCAGCACCAAAATCAGCGATTACAGCAATAAGGAAACTTTTCAGACTTGCAACGAAACGAGGCAATGCAGAAAAGAATTGTTCCATGACTATATAGTACAAGTTCACGGACATCCCATTGAAACGCGTGTTAAACTTAATACACGCATTTCAATGATGTCGATGGTTTCGCCCTCGACCGATATCCTTTCCTGATGCAAATCTAACCCTTAATGGCCCCTATATTGTCCACGGCCCCAAAGAACTCCGAACCACGACACAAGTGGAATAGAGTGGTGAAGTGTGACGTCATCAAAAACTATTTTTAGAATTTCTCAATTTGAACTTCATTTTCCGAAAGAGTATCAAAAGTAATGTCCAGTTTTTATTCAGATATGACCCGGAATATGACCTTCTGAATTTCCTATAGGAACTCGATGTTATTTTGCTCTGGTTCATAACCTTCTCAAACCTTTCGTTATGATGTCATCCTTTGTTTCTCCCTTCTATAATAACCTTTCCTGACGGTATTCTCTGTTTCTTCCTTCTATAACCTTCTCTTATGTTATCCTTTTTTATTCCTTCTATAACTTTTCCCTATATGTTATTCTGTGTTTCTTCCTTCTATAACCTTTTCTTATGGTATCCCTTTTTAATTCCTTCTATAACCTTTACCTTTATGTCATTCTGTGTTTCTTCCTTCTAAAACCTTTTCTTGTGTTATTCTTTGTTTCTTCCTTATATAACCTTTACTTATATTTTTTTTTCTTCCTTCTATAACCTTTTCTTATTTTATTCTTATTTTTCTTCCTTCTATAACCTTTTCTTATTTTATTCTTATTTTTCTTCCTCCTATAACCTTTCCCTATATGTTATTCTGTGTTTCTTCCTTCTATAACCTTTCTTATGTTGTTCTTTTGAAACAATTGTAAGAAGTGAATGGCATGGTCCATGTTTTTTGCTCATGGAACCAATCACTCACGAGGAGTCTTTATAGGCTACTATTCAATGATGAATTAAATGTACAAACTATTGCAGTGAAATGTATGTTAAATGGTCAACTTTTGATGCTACGAGCCAAAGTTCATGATATGGAGTTATTGCTAATAAATATATGTATGCGCCTACTCAAAAGCAACATAGAGAAGGTTTCTTTCGAAAGTTAAATTCTGAAATGAATAAACATTATATCAGTGACCCTGAGTTAAATCTATGGGGAGATTAGAACTGTGTGCTAGACGTACAGCACAAGGATTTACAAGGAGCGGGAAATGAGATATTACAAGACACCCGTAAATCTCACAAAGTTTATTAAAAGATATGCTCTATGCGATGTCTGGAGACTAATGCATTTAGATAGCAAGCAATACACATGGAGAAACATATCTCTCAAGAGAGCTTCGTGATTGGATTTTCGGATTGTAACTAAACAAATTAAGATAAAAACATAAAGTACTGATATCCGACCTCCAATCAGAACTGATCACAGTGCTATATCAGTTAAGTTTTGTATCAAACAAAATGAGAGAGAACCAAGGTATTGGAAAATGAATACCGACATCCTAGATAATGTAAATTACAAAATGAAAGTTTCGGAAATTATCCATTCTCTCTTAGGTGGGAAATTTTCAAGATTAGAATTCGTGAATTTTCACAACAATTCTGCAGAACAAGCACTCGATAGGAAAAATGATAAGTTTTCATTAGACAAGAGATTGTGTGAACTTGAAAAACAAATTGATGTCAGTATACCTGATCAAGAAGTAGAAAAAGATTACACCGATACAGAGGAGAGGTTAGAGAAGATCTATAGACATGAATCTAGAGGAGCTGGAATCAGAGCTCGTATTAGGTGGATGGAAGAAGGAGAGAGAAATTTTTAAGAGACGGAGTCCTATCTAGCTCATTCCGTTTCGATACCGCCAGGAGAAAATATGTCAGGCATGCGCTTAACTTACCTACCTCGCAGATACGTAGACAAAAGATTCCTGCCTACAATTATCTCGAAATGCATATGAATTTCAAAAAATCAAGATTAGATCTATCAAAATCTGTATGAAGTATCCCAAAATCAAGAGATCTCATCGCAGCTAGGTGTTGATGAAAAACGGTCTAAAACTGTCAAAATGTCTCCTTGATTCCCGTTATTTTCAATGCTACATACATTTAAACCGTCTTGCCACTTTAAAAAAGCTCTTTACTCAGTAATATAACGTGATGTACTTAATACTTCACGAGTCGACGTATCATGTTACTCTTCAAATTCTATATAACCCTACGGTGCTCTTTGTTTTCGGCCACTTTAGATACTCTATAATAAATGTATTACCCATATTATTCAAATTTCATATTATTCACTCTTCTAATAAGTTTACACCACACGAATAATAAACCGCAATAACGTATATTTATCAATCTGTCATGAAAGTTTGTTTTTATTCAATGTAAATAATACATTTTTCATCAAAAAACAAATTCACTTCATAATATTTATAATCATATCACCCAATATACGTATTAGAATTTTGTTGATAAATGCAAAATTTTAAGGACAAAAAGTAAAGACTAATGATGGGCACTATACTGCTACCCATCTAATAAATTAGATTTAATTTTCAAATGCACAATGTCGTTTAATATGATTCATTGTAGATGAAATATATCAATATTTTGATTTTATTTCTACAACCTTACTTTATTCAAAGTAACCATAAGAAATATATTTCAGTTATCTCATATGATACAGCAAGAAGCGCTATCTTCCGTAGCCATCACAGTACAGTAAGTCTTTACGAAAACTGGTACGTTTCTGCATTCTGGCAGGACCTATTTTCAAAAGAACCGAATTACGAGTCGGCTCTATCTACAGCCGCCAATAATATTCCATTACACAAAAAGAAATGCGGTAAAATGTTAATAATGAGAATTTTTTAATTCAACTCAAATAAAACAAACAGTTTTTAATGACATGAAGCTATATTAACATTTATAAAGCCATTTTCTAGTAAGCGATGATTGATTCGTGAGCAACGACTTAATTAAGGAAATGTGAACAAACAGAATATAATATAAGCATGCTGGCCTAAACGAACTTAACTTCATGTAAACCATTATGACGATTTCAATGTCTTTTCGCACAGTGTTTACAGACTAGACGCTCTTTGTCATTCTTATTATTCGTTTTTGTTTCCTTTTGGGTTCTATTCCTTCTAAACCTTGTCAGCGAATGTTACCTGATGACCACCCCCCCCCCATACACACACACACACACACACACACACTCACTCACAACGTTTTCCCCTGAATTTAACATGCAGTAGGTAATTTGAAAATCTCAAGCGAAAAAGAATAACACTTCGGGACTGTATGAGATCCTAAAGCAGTATAGTATTGTTTGTTCGTCTGCTTTTCCATAGCACCGATTGATATGGAGCTATTTCATGCATCTTTCTGTAATCAGAAAAGTATAATGGTAAAATGTAATAATTCTTGATAGCTGTATAAAAGACATTGTCGCAATTAAAATACATCACAGCTCAAATAAAAACGTTTCAAACAGATACAACAAATATAAAGTAAAATACTTCAACATTTCAAGCGATATATATTAGGCATACTTCCTTTCAACAGAATAAAACTATTTTATCCGATGGGTTACGACCATAATTGCACACAAAATCGCACGAACTATAATTTCAAGCATAATTTGAACACAAATGCATATGTTAACATCAATAAGCCTAACAAAGGCCCTAGTTCTCCCCAAAACAACCTTATATACACGCAACTTTCCTCATAACTAAATTTAAAGCAAAGTTACTAGACAACGGCATGGGTCCTGCATGGGTCACTTGCAGTGGTAACAATTCCATGTTATATGGTTGCAATCATCACAGTGTTTAACTTTACTTGATAAATAGCAAGATACCCACATATCCCAACAGCTACAAGGGCACTTTTTCTTTCAAATCAAAGGATAACTTTGCCATCTGTTTTTAAAAGCCTATACCGTTTTCATTACCTGCCGCCAATTAAATACAAAAATCAGGACCTAGCTTTTGCCACGTTGGGAGTTTGTACTTCTGCCAACTTATTTACAGGAAAATGCAATTTATTTTTTAGGCTTTTCATGATCAGAGGTACCATACTGCATTTTCTCAATCATTCCAACTCGTCATTACTCCAAATGTCAATTCTAACCATTACTCTGAAAACATCCACCACCTTCATGCTCTCCTGGTAACGATGGTGATGGCTATAGAGACTAGCGAGGAGAAGGAGGAAGATCAGGCGGAGGAGAAAAAGAAAGAGGAGGAGGAGGAGGAGGAGGGCGTTCATCCCGTTTACTCCCCTATCGCGGGGGCGGCATCTTCGAACCAATCTGCCACGGTATCTGCACTGGTACTCATCCACGCGATGTTAGTATTTGCTACCTCTATCGACTGCTCATATGCGCGCGTTGCAGACCCAAAGTTCTTGCCTTCCCCGAAAGCCATAAGCTATTTTGAAGGAAAAAAAAGAACAGAAAATGAGAAGAAAAATATGACTAAAAATGAAACGATTGAATAGAAGCAGCGATAATGTTAGGATTTGATAAGCGGGAGGAGCTCCCTGACCCAGGGGAAGGAAAACGTGTGCAACTTAAACAATGTTTTGTGCAGATGAGAAGAAAGTTTAACCAAGATCCAAAATGAGGGAACTTATTCAATTTTGTCCTTTTCATCAAAACTCATTGGGAAAGAAAAATGAATCACTTAAATGTTGATTTTTTTGCTCTAAAAATAAATTCAAATAAAGGGGGAAATTGATATTTCAACCAAGAAAAGCACAGTCTTAACAGACTAGGTAAGCAGCTGTTTGGGTGAGCAAGTGGGGTGACCCCCCCCCCCCCCTCCCGGACTCAATTAAAAATCAAGACTTAAATTGGCCTTACTTCTAGCTTTTATAGGATATATGAAAAGGCTAGAATTTTAAATTCTGGAAATACTGATGCCGTGAATTTCAAACCAGCACCCATGTCATGTATAAAAAGACAATCACGTTTATACGTACCTCTTCTAGTTCAAGATCGGTATTAAAGTCTTCTGTTATTTCCGAAATGATATAACTGAACGCACTCAGACTTTCACCGTAACTGTAATAGGTAGGTTATAAAAAAAGATTAAAAATCACCGAGATAGGTGTTCATTTTTTAATCATCAAATTTTCAAGTTGTTTTATTTCTCAAAAATCCTAAGTCTCGTTTGCATACACAATAGGGACTTTTCGATTTGCACGTCGACATAGTGAACTGCTTCGCATGAAAAGGACGTCACACGTAGCAGTCCACTATGTCGACGTGCAAATCGAAAAATCACTAATGATAGTATCAAAACGGTTTCCACATGTACATGTGCTTGACTTAATTATTAAACGTTCGAAATTTATATATTTTTTAAATAATCGTTTTGAGTAGCTAAAATAAATGTTATGATAGGCACAATTACATGTCGTGAATTACATTAGGGTCTATTCACAACGAATCACTTATTGCACTAATTGCACCTCAAAGTTGTATTTTTTTTCTTCTTCAAAACCACCTTGATGCCAAGGTGGGCATTCTCTTGAGAAGAAAAAAAAATCAAAAACGAAATTGAAATCAAGTATTTATTGTCCATTTGGAAATCTGTTTTTAATTGGTAAAAGTTTACAGAGATCAATTTACACAAAAGAAATAATTATAATCATAGACAGTTACAGTAATGGTAAACTGAATTCAAAACAGCTTAAGTTTGATAAGGTACTTGGAAATGGGCGAGATATTCTTGTTTTTTCGGAAAGGACAGTCTGTGCGGAATAGGCAGTTAAGTATAATCTTATGAGAATCAAAGAAAATGCATGTAGATTCTTACTATTGTTTGTAGGTTTCCCAATTAGATCGCAGATAATCCCAAGCAATGGAACGTCCAATGTAGTTCCGTGATACGTAGACGATGACGTAATATGAATCTTGGGAACGAACAAGATCTTCATCCAGGGAGTAGTCTAGATACCTACAGACACCACAGAAAACGAGCAAGGAAGAGAGAATGTGAAGTTCTGTAAATAAATGTCAATAACTCAAAGTACAATGTTGCCCATACAATTGGAAGAAACACTTCTTATATATTTCGATGAAATGGTCGTGACAATATGATTTATTCGTGATAGATAAAGATTAAATCTTCTCAGAACTTTACTGACCAATGGCTACCCGGGTATTCATAATCATTTTCATAATTACAACATCAATCCACAAGATTATATATCTTTCATTATTACAAAACCGGTGTTATTTGCTGCTGTTTTACCTGCTAAGTATCCACGGTGCTTGAGAGTAGGAAAGAGCAAACAGCCATGTTGATTTCTCGTTGGCATCTAGGGTTTCTATGTACTTCCTCCAGCCAAACTCCCACTCCTCCTGCCCGCCTTCCTGGATGCCATAGCAATATACCGTCGTCTTCAAGTTAGGAGAGATGCTGTAGAAGTCCAGGAAATATTGGGATAAATGGCGGATTCAAGTGATACAGGGGCATGCCCCCCCCCCCCCCCGAACAAACTTTGTCAATACATTTCATACTATCTAGATCAGCGTTTTTTAACTGGGGTGCCGCAAGACATCTCTAGGGATGCCGTGATTTAAAAAAAAATATATATATAATAAAATAAAAAAATATATAATGAAATGACGTCGATTTCGTACTAATCAAATATCAGAAACCGTTAAGAAAAATTTAAAGGTAATAAAGTGCATTTCTTTTTCGCTAGCTCTCAACCTTTTGCCTGAATATTTCCATTTTTGAGCAGAATAGCCTTCTATTTTAAACATTAAAAATCACTCTTCGAAATATGCAAAGTGCTCGGTGACATTTTGAATAATCCGAACATGATTTTATAAAGGTAATCGTAAAATGGAAAAGAAAATTGCTCTAAAGTTTGTTTCTCGAAAGTCTTTCCGATCTTGTTAAATCTACACGATCCGTGTATTGAAAAAGACTTCAACGACTATTACGAAAAGTTAATGAAAATCAATAAGCTTCGGACCATCATAAAAAATTAAAGAAAGTCAATAAACTTTAGACCATCATTAAAAAAAGCTAATGAAAATTAACAAATTTCAGGGACCCTCGTGAACAATAATTAGTAAAATGATTGATAAATGAATTTCAGCTTACGGGTTGATTTCATAATCTGGTAAGTTGTCAGTGTTGTTAGCATCGTTCTCCATGTACTCTTGGAAGAGAGTAGAAGCCTGGTCTAGACAATCTTGGTTGCGGTATTTACACGATGTGCCAATGGCGTTGACTCGGTTATATCTGTAGTGTGAGGAAATGAATTTTTAAAAGGCATAATGTGTTGAAAGAATAGACGTGCGAGTATGTCAGGCAGAACAATATAAACTAGGATGTAGAATTGTAGTATTCCCGATGTATCGGTGACTGCTAAGGTCTGTTAACAAAACTATCACATTAATAAAAGGTTCTTTCATCATAATCAGCCAAAATGTTTTGATAATCTTTCACTTGCGTGCTGCAAGCTTCGTCGGACTATGTTGTAATTTTTTTCTACTGAGTGTAAAAGAAATAACTAATTGACAAGTTACATCATCAATCAGGTGAACCTCTTCAGTGATTCTAGAATGTATCATCAATATAGAATAATTATTTAGGCAATTTTACAGATGGTTTTGTATGAAAATTCGACATTGTTTCATAGTTTGAAACGACAAATCTCCAAGTTTTACAAGTAACGATTCGTTTTCATTTTGTTTGTCTTTGAACTGGAAGAGCGTTTTACGAAACTTGAGCGAAAATCATCTTTTGAAAAATGTATTACTATTTCAGAAGACGCCGAATGTTGTGCGCATCTCTCGACAACCCAATTCACATGACCTTTATGATGAAAATGACAAATGATGGCCGGTAAGAGACAGAAGGGCGCTATAACTCTGGGTCGAAGTGATACGAGTTAACGCTCTTCTTGCTCTCATGAGGCGCTTATTGACTTACTGTACAAGGTGAAGGTCATTATCTGGGTCGTCGTCCCATGTTAGATCGTCGTATAATGGCTGGATTTTCTCTCGCATGTATCTCTAATAAGAGAGAAGGAACACAAATGTTATAACTTAAATCGATATCATCAATTGTATATAATCATAATTCTTTCATAATACAGTCTATGCACTAGCGTATGTGAGGGGGCAAGGGGTAGTTTTCCCCTCCTGACTGATTTCCGACCGAGATAAATAAATTAAGCAACTTTGTATAACCCTATAATAGTTAGCAGGTTAGAAAATCATTGTAAGATGAAGAAAAAACATCTAGAATTTAAAAAAAAATGGGGTGATGCTCCCCGTTCCCCCTCTCTCTCTCTCACTGTGTCTCTCTTCGTCTGTTTCTCTCTCTCTCTCTCTCCCTCTATTTCTCTCTCTCTCTCTCTCCCTCTATTTCTCTCTCTCTCTCTCTCTCTCACCTAACATTCCAAGGGCCTCAAAAGGTGACTTCTTGACTAAAGGTATATGGATCACATTAAGCTGAGACGTTTGGCCCCTTCTGAGGCCAAGCTCTGAGTATGCCATGCACTTAGTCTATGGTTTTATCAATGCAGTCACATATTTCCATTATCTTATTACTATCGTTTCAGTCTATAAACGAGGGGGTAAACCCCGCATGACATGGGTAAAGAATCTCTTTAGTTAGTAATACATACAGGGTAAATATAATCAGAAAGGTAAATCAATCCAACATGGTTTAAAAAAAGAATAGGGAAAAATCATCTCAAAAAAATTAGTAGTAACATAAACATGACGGTGACAAAAGATTATTTGACGCCCCTCCCCTTTCAGTCAATCCGGGATCGGCCCCTGTATACCTCTAGCGAGCCGTAACCATAATGCCTGCTGAACATATCAGTGATGTACGAGATAACACCAAGGAGTGCCTCCCAGGGTACATAGTCATCCTCGTTCTCCATGTAGAGGGTCAGATCAAGAGCGATGGGGTAATCCACACGCCCCACCCGAGCCAAGTTGAAGGCATCATTGATGAGCTGGGCGCGGTTCTCGATTGGGATTACCTTGATAAAGAGAGAGAGAGAAGAAATGTTTAAGAGTATTTGACATAAAACTCACAACTAATTTAAGCTAAGGTAGATTTGGATTTCACTTTTAATCGAGTAATAATAATTATAATAATTTAATCAGTTAGTCTGCATGTACTATAATACGATCAAAACAATTTGGAGAGAGCCTGTCATCATCTGACCGAAGCTGCAAAATAAGTTTAACCAACCCGATCTCAAATTAGCCAGCTAATTTGCGTTTTCATCAGCCCACAGTTGCAATTAGCGGGCTATTTGGTCGAGAAAATATCCCGCGAAATCTTCCAAAATAGCCCGCTATGTGGGAAATAGCGGGCTAATTTGCGCCCGTTTGAGATGAGCGTATCGAATCTCGTGAATACGCAATTTCGAACTTCGGGAAATTATACCGAGTCTGAAAATAGCGGGTTATTTTGCAACTTCGGTCTGATGAAGACAGGCCTTATAGAGGCAGTTAATTTTCACCTTCAACCACCTTCAATTCCTAGCACTATACACATTTCTAACAGCATCTAATTTAAAAAAAAAAAAATCCGATTTGACGTTTTGTTTTTTGTTTGGTTCATAATTCCAAGGAAAAAGTTCCGTAATTTTTGAAAATAAAAGAAGGTTCATAATTCCGAAAATGAAACAAACAAACTAAATGAAAACAACAACAAAAAGACCCATAAGACCAACCGGTTACATGTCTTTTTCCAAAAGGTTCATAATTTTAAGGGTTTCATTTTTTTCAAAGGTTCTTTACTACGAAGTTTCTTAATTCCGAAAATTCATAATTCCGGAAACCAAATAAAACCGTGTATCCTTTTCGGAATAGCGTCAGCTTACCACATGACTATCTACTAACTGTTGGCTGAGGCGAGCCCAGTTTTCATCGTCATAGTTCACTCGATAAAATCCGTACTGCTGAATGTTAGCGAGAAACCAATCGTTTTCCATGGGGGATGAGAGGTGTACGAGGGCTGCAAAAAAAAAGAAATTGGACGAGAATTGAATGATAAGATTTAAATCATACAGTTTCCCTCTCTTTCAATCATTATATCAGGTTACCATAGAAGAAAAAGGGAAGCTTTGTTTATTAATACGGACCGCCATTGAGATAACATTCTAGCTGCAACTATTATGTAATAATCAAAGCAACAATGGCCTTCATGGATTCACATGCGGATTCTGATTACCGATAGAGCCCCCCCCCGCCCCCGCCCCCACCGCCCCCTCCTTTTCCCTCCATTAAAAAAAGGATCTTGCATCCCCCATTCCGAGACATTCCAGGGCCGAAATATGGGCTGCAGAAAATTAATTACAAAAATGAAAAACTTTCGGGAAATTTTCTTTGCACAAACCATCTTACCCTCCGACCCTCCTTCTCTCCCTTCCTACTGAAAAATATCTATTTTTGGTCCCGAAGCCATTTTCCTTGGAAACATGTCTGTCTGAAAAACTTTCAGTCCCAACTTTTAGATAGTGATCCTGAATGGATCTATCTTCTTGATAGCTTATTACAGATCTACAGATTACACATACCAAGTTACAACTGCCATTTATAATACTTATTGTTTGAAACAATAATCTTACTCCATGGTTCTTTTTCGATCCACGTAGCATTGGGATTTTCAAAATCTGCTCCTGTCATTCGTGTGTAGGTGAGGTAAACATACCACAGGTATCTAAGATAAAGCAGAAGAAACAGTTAAAATGAAATTGTGATTATTTCAAAACACGAAATGGTTATCAAAGTTCCTTTATCGGAAAGAACTCGCGGGGAATTTAAACCTGTCTTGTGATATATAGAATAGGTCATTTACAGAATCGGGCGAAAAATTCGACGGACTTTTTTCTGGAGTGTGCTTGTTTTTGTGTTACTTGGGGCTACTGTTGTTCTAAAACTTTAGTTTTAAAATAAAGATTGGGAAACAAATGAAGAAAAAATATAAAACATACTATAAGAAAAGGAAAACTATTCTAAGCAAAATTTCTCTCTCTCACTCTCTTCCTCCCTCCATCCCTACCTCCCCCTTCCTCCATTCATCTCTTCCTTTTCTCTCTCTCTCTCTCTCTCTCTCTCTCATTTTCCCAATAGTGATCTTCGATTAAACAACATGATAGGAAACATAAGCAGGGGTGGACTGGTGATGGGGAGTTTGGAGAGTTTCCCCCACGGACCTAGCTTGAGGGACGATCGATTTATGGTATGAGGGCCGGTTGACAAATACTTTGGGGCTGAGTGGGCTGCCACATCAAAATTAATAGAATTTCATTCCCAGTCCACCCCTGAACATAAATGTTGCTTTTTTTAATTCACCCGACATCGCCGTATCTGTCATCGACTCCAGCATCAGGGTTAATGAGGAAATGTTCCTGTGAAGCATTGAAGTGAGTATCGTCAAAGCGACGGAAATCGACCACAGGAAAACCCATCTGTAGCGTCCACGTGTCCATAATCTGTTTGACATCGTTATTACCGATTCCTTCATCTGCCTGCATGGTGGAATAAGACAACAACCTTTGCGAATATGCGGTATAATATTTTAGAAGGGCATTATGCAATGGCATGCGACGGGATGATATGAAAGCACGTGCCCCCCCCCCCCCAATCCCCACCCGACAAAAAATGGCGAAAGCGAAAATATTAAAAGAAATATTGATTTATTTTTGTTTAATGAGGAAGAAATGATGATAGGCAAATCATTAGATGAAGATACGCCCCTGCTCCCCTTTAATCGTTATCTTATCACTTCATTGATTGATTGATTGATAGATGATATATTCATGAATTGTTCATACATTCATAGTTATTGGGTTCTAGTTTTTGATCATTTGATTGATTAATTGATGATGAATCCACCATTTAAACAACCCATACCTCTGTAAGAGCCGCCCATAGATCATCAGTTTTGGCGTTATCCTCTCTGTACCTGAGTAGATAAGCGTTGAGTCCGCTCAAGAATACATCTTCTCCGAGAATGTCATTTAACATACGGAGGATCGAAGCTCCCTTGATAGATAAATCAAGATACAATGTAATTCAATTCAGTTTCACTTTATTAACTAAGAGAATGTTGCAGTAGTAGTAAGCAGCAGAAGTAGTAGCAGAAGTAGTAGTAGTAGTAGTAGAAGAAGTAGTAGTAGCTGTAGTAGTATTCGTAGTAGTAGTAGTAGTAGTAGTAGTAGTAGTAGTAGTAGTAGTAGAAGTAGTAGTAGTTTAGTAGAAGCCGTAGTAATGGTAGTGGTGGTGGTCGTCGTCATACTAATAGTAATAGTATATTTAGTTGTAGGTGTAAATTTTGAAACTGACGTAAACATTAATATTTCTAGCATTGATAATAAAAGATCTATATAGCTATAAAACTTCATGATGTCAATCAATGAATAGTTTTACAGATTTTATTATATATTTTTTGGCAGAATAAAAATGAAATTAATGAAGATTATTATTTTCAAATCCAATGTTATATAGTTCAAATAAAAGAAACATTTTAGAAACAATATTATGCACTACAACATCGCCTACATGTACAAAACAAGGAAAATGTTTACATAGTACTACCAATTTACTAACATGATCGTTAAGAATTTTAGGGAATCAACTTAGTGGCAATTTTAATTCCATAATTGTATTGCCTAAGTCGTGTTTAGATTATTATTTTGTCTAATGTCCTTGTCACAGTCGCACATTTCAATAAGTGACGCTCAAAGCTATTGAAATTTTCTGACAGTCTTTGTCATTGTGTGTCCTATATTATGAAAAGAAATGTCAAAGGAAATCTTAAATCATAATAATCAGATCATATCAAATACATTATGCTAACATGATGTACCTTGCTGTACGAAATGGAATCAAAGATTTCGTTGATTTCATCCGGAGAATTGACAGCAACTTGGACCGGATGTGACGTACCTAGGGCGTCAAGGTCAAAAACTGGCTGCAGATGCAAATCTACAAATTGTTCATTCTGTTGCAAAGAATCAAAGCAGAAGAAAGTGATATTTTCAATTAAATTTAGTTAACAAAAAACAATTTTCAGGGTGGTAATGATTAGAGACGGTTGATATAAATTGTGAAGAGTGCTAATGCAGTTCCATTCTTGCATATATCCTTGTATGGTTCGTGAACGTGATACACCTTTTCCGTTTCTCTTGTTTACTGAATAGTATCAATCAGGTTTTCATGATGTTTAAACATCTTTGAGGGGGTCGAATCATGCACTAGCTCTGCCTTTTATTCAGACTCCTCACATTTCACATTGTATTGTTATTGCCTGTCGTATCTTCATTGAAATTAGAAATTATGCGTTTATTATCCATTTCGAAATTCGTTTTTCACTGGTAAAGGTTTACAGGTTAGTTTACAAATACAAATAATCGCAATTATGATAATAATTATAATTATAATCATATCCATTATGATCATAATATTAATAACAAATAATCATAACGACCATAATCATAATCATGTATGCTTCACTTGTACCACTTTATATACGCACAATATACTTATTACTTTGTACTTCTTCAGCTTGACTGTAGTGTGGATCATTTTTCTAAAATGTAAATGTGGAACAATAAACTTCAAACATGACGTCATTATAATGACATATCTATGCATGATAACTTATCTCTAAAAGATTGCACCTACATTTATAAACAAATATGTTTCTACCAAATGTTGCTGTCAGCCGCCTTTTTTCTCACTAGCTGCGTTCATGATTGGTTTTTATTTTTCTTCCTTTGTAGTTCCATCGTGACATATTGGGTAGACCTTTTGACATAACAGTTCGATATTCGATAAACATCTTTAGGATTAAAGCATGTGACACATCGCTCCAATTGCTATCCTCTAATATTATTTCTACTCTCTAACCCATTATCCATTGACCTTAGTTATACCCCAATCAGTGATATCTGGTGTAATCTAGTAACAGCCCATTCATTTATTAATAGATTAGCTATTCAATAACACTTGAAACCGAAACTCGTAATTTGACTAGACGGAATTCAAGTCACCTTTGATATCATGTATTTCAATTACAACAGCAATATCCGAATGACTGCTAATACAAATTTGAATTCTCGTATATGTCACTCGTACGAGGTTTTTTCTATCCAATTTGGATAATTTATATTCATATTTGATTCGATTTTTGGGGCAGTGAGGTCTTTCAGGATTTCTGCGAGTTTTGTTTCCGTCATGTGTACTCAATTAACCGAACTAGAATTGCAACGTAAGCCTAATTAGAACACAATTTAAACCATTTTTACGCAAAAAATACCGAATTTTGAGGAAAAAGTTAATGGAGGTACATGTATGGAAGACAGAATGTCATTTTCGACTCCGCTAACAATCATACTTCACGCCTGTACATATGAAGTGATATCACCCCGACCCGAGTAGGCTCCTGGGACAAATGCTCCGGGGTTCATTGTGTTAAATGTATAGGGTAACTGCATTGGCGCCGGAAGTCGGGGGGGGGGCAGGGGCGCTCGCTTCACGCTACACTCTACCTGCTCGTTTAATATTTCATTTTGAAAAACGTTTCGCGGGGCCTGCATGCAACATGTAGGAGTGGTGGTGATGCAGGTTTCTCTCCCCCCCCCCCCCCCCGCCCCCATCCCAAACTGCTTCCGGCGCGCCTGAGGGTTAGGCTTATATTTGCAATTAGTTTATATGTTAGCTTTAGGGTGAGGGTGAGTGTTATAATGCTGGGTCTAGGGGTGAAATTAAGAATTCGTCGAGTGTAGGAAACTGGCGCGTACCACTTGTCGCAGGAGCCAGTGTCTTATAACCGAAGTAGTCACACTACCATCAGGGACTTTTATATTTACACGTCGACATAGTGGACTGCTACGTGTGACGTCCTTTTAAAGCATTGTGACGTCCAATATGTCGACGTGCAAATATAAAAGTCCCTATTGTGGACTGGAACACGTACTCACCATGCCCCAGTAAGGCTCTGCGTATTCCACACCAAGGCCTTCGACGTAGCTGGCGAATCCCTCGTTCAGCCAAAGATCATCCCACCATAGACAAGTTACAAGATTACCAAACCACTGGATGTAGAGAGAGAGAAAAAAAAAGAGAGAGATAAAATCAATCAATTTCTTTTAGAGGCACGTTTATAATTGTTAAATGGCTTTGCTCACGCATGCGTGAATGGTTTAATTCCAATTGCATCTTAAAGAGGATTAATTTTTGTTTATGAAAGATAAAGTTTATATTGAATATTTATTTGAAAATCTGAACTATAAATAGTGTCGACTTTGTATCTTTCTTCGTTTCTGTTGCTAAATGTATTATATATATCATATATTATTCATCATATTTCATATATCATATATTATTTATCATATAGCATGTATTATATGTAAATATAATATATATATATATATGTCATGTATTATACAGTAAACAACTTAATTATTCATATCCTTACCAAGCTTTGTAATGTTTTGAAAGTATGTGAAAAATTGACTTGTCCTGATTTAATGTTTCTTGAGAATGTGACATATGAAAGCTAACATCTAAAAAAGAATTCAACAAAGGCCCTGGTTCAACCATTCCAGCTTTCATTCTTGAGTTACAGAAAAACATGAAATTGACAAGGGGTGTGAATAATTTAGTTGTTAACTGTATATTTTAGTTATTATTGTCTACCATGTGGGCAAGTTCGTGAGAGACCACTGTAGCAACACGTTGTTTGTTGCTAGCAGAGTTGACCCTGCTGTCATAGAGTAGGGCAGTTTCACGGTATATGATGAGGCCCCAATTCTCCATGGCCCCAGCTGAAAAGTCCGGTACGGCAATCATGTCTGTAAGAGAGGATGGGCAATCACATATCAAAAGTGAGTACAAAATTAATCTCCATCTTCAAGCCTCGATGGCTCAGTGGTGGAATAGTGGACTCATAACCGGGAGGTCCCGGATTCGAAACCAAGTCGATGCGCTAGTGCCCTTTGGAAAGGCATTACTCTTCATTACCAAGTCCCTCGTAGAGGATATAAAGCCGTCGGTCCCCTGGTTGCATACTGACAAGCATACACATGTTTTCTTACTCCAACAAGCCCTGGTGTCAACAAGATCGCGAAGACTTTCAAGAACTCCACTCGAGGGACATTACAATACCCTATTATAATATCCCTTTCAAATGTTGTTACGTCATTGTAATGTTCTTATTTCTATAATGGACTCGCCTATGGGTGTTTTTATCATCGAAAGTCTATACGATCGTTTAAGTCTGAGTGAGAACAAAAAAATGAAATCCCATTTTCGACCCTCATTTATCAAGTAATATTTTGAAATGTATGATTATTCAATAGTTTTAGGGTTATTCAGATTTAACAGATTTGCAACTGTAATCATGGAAGGAGAATGTGAATGATGAAGATACAATCTACGCAATGAAAAGAGAACAATTATATGTCAATAACCATACCTTGTTTTTCAAGAGGGAAAGATATATTGAAATATTCTTCGAAGTAGGTGGTAATATTAGATCCGATGTCAAGAGCATATACTGTTGTATTCACCGCCTCCGGTCGTGACCAAACTCGGAACTAAAAGATTTAAGAAAAAATACAGATCTTGTATAAATGACAAACTCGAATCTGAAAGAAGAATGCGCAAACACCTGGGAAGTGATGTACTTTATTAGGATAACTTATAATACAAACAACAACAAAAGGCTCGATACAGGTTTTTATTTTAATAATCGAATCCACAGATATACGATATAGTTATCCTCCTCTTTGAGCACATGTTGATATGACTATGCCATTATGTCCTGGGGAGTGTTTCACAAAGATCCTAAGTAGAACTTAAAGGTAAAGACCAGTTATGGTCATGCGATTGCATTGTGAAAGAAACGTTGTGGAATCGATCAGAAAAGGTTGCATCTAGCATCTACAAGGTTCTGGAATCATCAAAATGATAAGAAATTTGGCCCATTCTTCGTAAAGTTCCAACACTATACACAGAAAGATGTATATGGGACTACCCTATATCTCTCACAGACCATGAGAGAAACAAATTTATCAAATATATGAATTAGTAGGCGGTTTCCCGGCAAATTTTGTATCATCATGTATTAGTCAAAACATATTCTTTCACATGATTGGTAATGAGAGCTTCCATTTCATTTTTTTTTAAATTGGGGCGTTTCCAATACTGGTCTTTACCTTTAACACTAAGTTGGACTTAAAAAGTATGGACAGCCATTGGAGCCTTAAAATGAAATATATTCAAAAGCAAAAATTGGAGTATTTTAGACTTTTCATCAATTCCACATCAAGAACATGAAATCTCCCATGATAATAGAAAATATGAATGATTTGAATCAACATTTTATGCCTTCTAAAAATAAATTACAAAATATTTTCAAGGATGCTAATGGCTTCCCATAAATTTTAAGTCCAACTTTAAGAGATAAGTTCAACTTAGGATCTTTGTGAAACACCCCCCTGACGCTCTATTTCTTCGGATATATTTTTTCAATAGGGATGCGGAGGACGAAAAGTTATATTCCACCAGTGGCGGATTCAAAAATTCCAAACATCTCTGGCAAGCAAGAAGCCAAATAATAATAATTATTATGATAACCATGAGATGGTTAATGAATAATAATAATATTAATAATAATAATAATAATAATAATAATGGGTGGTATTCTCATAAGTTAAGCCGGGACTAAGTCCAGACTAAACAAGAATTTTAGTTCACACTTCTATGGAATGCTAGGTTTCATCTTCCTCCTTCAATATGCATGACAAGGATAAGCTACCAAAGACTTTGTTGAAATTCAGTTCATACTCATATTATCTTTTTCTTCCCATTTCATTGCAAAATTAATTTTTTGGACACTTTTCATTGAAGGATTAAAATAATCTGTTCAGGGTAAATTAGTTCACAACAGGCACTCCATAAAAGTGTGAACTAACTAAGCACGCGCTAACTTAGTACGCGCTACCGGAATACCACCCAATAATATTAATATTAATAATAATAATAATAATGATTATGACAATAATATTTATAATGATAATAATAACAACAACAACAATAATAATGATAATGAAAGTGATAATAATGACGATAATAATAATAAAAAGAATGATAAAAATGATAAAAATTATGATAATCATAATAAAGAGGGGTATCACTTTTCGGGGTTTCTATTCCATTGCTAAACTCTCTGACTAGCAACTTATCACGTTATTCAATCCCGTATCCAATACTTTTCACTGTGAATGCTGAAACTTTTTTCCTGAGCCCCCCCCCCCTCCTAACCACCAGGGGGTGCTGCAACGGCAGTGGCTTCCCGACCCCTAGTTTCTATTGGAGATGTGTAATATTGGGGGGGGGCACAACTTACCCGAATTCCACCGTCGGTGTATGTTTCCGTATAGTTGAAGTAGCCGACAACAAAAGCTAAGAGGTAGGTCGACATCATGGGCGTGGCTTCGTACTCCGTAATCAGCCATCCTTCGGTCTCACTCTCATTTACGCTGATTTCGATGCCGTTGGATAGGGCGACCATGTCGTCGCGGTGCTCGATCTGGGTTTGGAAGACGGCCTTAAAGTCGGGTTCGTCGAAACAAGGAAGAGCGCGACGGGCGCTTGTGGGCTGCATCTGAGTGGTGGCTAGCCATCTAATGGGAGGAGAAAGAAATGGAGAGTGTGTGTGTGTGTGTGTGTGTGTGGCGAATGTCGTGCGAAGTGGTGCGTGTGCGTGTGTGCGTGTGTGTATACGTGTGTGTAAGAGAGAGAGAGAGAGAGAGAGGGGTAGATATACAAAGAGATTGGAGAAAGATACAAAGACAGACAGGTGGAGGTTGACAGAGTGAGAGACGAGATAGATAGGCAGACAGAGGAAGAAAGAGAAGAAAGGTCACATGTAGAGTGGAAGGAGAGAAACAAAAGCAAGAAAACCATGTTAGCAATAAGAAAGAAAGATAAGAGAGAAAGACAAGAGAGAGTCAAAGAGAGAGAGAGAGAGAGTCAATGAGAGAGGGAGAGAGAGAGAGCAGGAAGAAAAAGAGGAAGAAGAAGATGATAATGAAGAAGAAGGGGGAGAAGAAGAAGATGATGAAAAAGAATAAGAAGACGATGATGACGAAAACGAAGAAGAAGAAGAAGAACACAACAACAGCAACAAAAAACGATTTAGAAAAGGAAGCAAAAGTGAGCTTATTCAGTTTTCTATGAAGAAACTATTTTGGGGGTGATTTTTTCGAAAATTCGGCATTATTTTCATTGCATTTAAAGGTTTTGGGATCGCATATTCCTACTTGAGCAACCCAAAGGAGTTTTTAGGTTGTTTTGTTTCCATAACTTTGTGCAAACTCCTACAAACATGTCAATCTTACTTTGTAACAGCTACATGTATATACTTTAGTCTCAAATGCTTTTTGGGGAAAAATAACGAGACTTTATCGTGAGTCTCTTTCGTAAATCCGTTTTTCTTCATCTTCATGAGCTTTCCTCTAATATCCTTGTTTCTTTTTTTGTAAACGTTTATAGCTTTTTCTTTGTAATTTTGTATCTTTTGTGGACATAGGCCCTATTTTTTAATGTAATTGTAATTGATATTGATATTGTTTTGTTTTTTTCGTGTTTTTGTTACCTCTTGTAATCGACCGAGTTGCTGAAGAACAGCCGTAAAAGCCGAATAGTGTTCTTTACCGTTTACCCGTATTAAAATAAACAAAACAAACAAGCAAAAAAATATTGAATGATAATGAAAGAATAGGTGGACTCACTTTATTTCGCCATCTTCTTCGTAACTGCTACGATAGAACCCCGAGAGTCCGGCCCATAGCTCGCCAAGGTATTCGATTTCCAAGATGTAGTCTTTACCCTCCTCGAGCTCAGCAGCAACATGAAAATGGACGAACTCGTAAATGGGAGTAAACGAGTTGCTTTCGATACCAACTTCATTCCCGTCGCTATCAGTTAGTGTGGAGTCATGAATGGTGATATTCAGCATATGCAGTGTCACCATCTGGGTTGTCGTATTACATCTAAAGTGTATTTTAACTCTTCCATCAAACGTGAATATACGATCACCTTCACCGAGGTCCTGAGGCATAAATTTTAGAAAGAAAAAAACTGATTAGTCTATTTAGCTTTCATACATCGGTCTATAAAATCGAGGTGTCGCGGTATTGGACTCTAAACCCAGGCCCGACACTAACGTCCCTTGGCAAGACATCATTCCACAGTTGCCGCTCTCCACACAGGTGTAAATGGGTCCCTGGTAATTGCTGGGGTAATAATAATTGCAGGGTTCTCAGGAAAAAGCTTCCTGGGTCAACAAAATTATCATTATTCTTATTTTCATATTAGTAGTAGTAGTATTATCATTATCATATCATTTTCATCATCGGTGTTATAATATATTCATTTATGTATTAAGTTTTATTTCAGTAGAGTAGTTCCACTCAAGCCAAAAATAAATTGAATGACCTGCTTTCCGAGGAAGCCCTACATTATATAGGTACATAAAATAACATCACATTTAATACAAAACAACACAAATTCAACACAGAACCACGTAGTATAATAATTTAAAAAAAATAAAAGGATGCTCTAAACGAGTACATTACAAAATTATTTTAAATAACAACAACAGTAACCAGGGCCTACAGCCCATTTATTCATTATCTTTATTATTATTAAATTACAAACTATGGTTTTTAAATGAATTCATCCCCTTTGTTTAAACGATGTCTAAATAGCTAACATAACCGTTATAATTATTGTCACTTCCAACCAAGTCTATCGAATATTCTTGGTTAATCTTATTACTTGTCAGTAAACGAATTGGTATTTGGACAAAATAATGATTAGACAAAATTAGGAGGGATTAGACCTCCCTGCATGGTCACTGACAGGTAATTATCTCATCAAATCAAGCTCTCAATTAACATAAGAAAAATGGGACCATGGGGGAATCAACGGGTACCGCTTAGGCATTGTTAGCTGTATAGAGGGCTCAAGTAGCTACAAGTAGTGCAGTCCAGCTTTAATTCTATTTTAAAGATATTAACCCATTGCTTACTGGAACCGGATTGTTCCTGTATTAACCCGATGGGAAAGATAACAATTCAGTAGTCAATGGGTTCAGACAAATGTATGGGGAAAGCACAAAATGTGATTTTTGTTTTCTTCTTCTTTCTTACGTCATCATAGAGGTATGGTTTGAGATAGAGCTCGTAGCTTTCTGGGATAAGATCGTATGTTAAACGTCCACTCCATGGCTCTGTAGTTGCATTTGGGGCTAATGTCGTAACGCGCGGTTCTGTCACAGGTGGTTCTGTCACGGGTGGTTCTGTCACGGGTGGTTCCGTAAGGGGCGCCTCGGTTGGTTCGGCGGTGACCGTCGTCGGGAGTTCTGGCCCGATAGGTTGCTCGCAAGAACGGTCGGGCAAGAAGGCGCACATACACCCGACGGCGATTATCACGGCGGCTCCCGCAATGCAGATAAAGACGATTTGGAACGTTGTGAAGAAACGTCCTCCGCCGCTCTCCTTGTCTTCACCCTCCTCAAAATTAAACTCTTCTTTAGTCATCTTATGGTCTGCTCACGTCGCTGCTGTATCATATGAAATGTAAAGGAATCAATGAAACAAATGGGTAACAAAATTGTACCAGTTTTATCTCCCTTTTCGACGGATTTAAGGCTCATTCAGATAATTTTGACGCGGTAGGAACAACAAATCCGCCGCGGTTTGATTTTTTAAATATTTTTTTTAAAACGTGTAAAATGAATGTCAACTGAGCGTAACACAGGTCCTACGCTATTCACTTATCTCTGCTTTATTAGATAGGAAATGTGAAGCGTATTACACTTTACGTCTTCATAAAAAACAATATTACAATAATTAAACGCCGCGGTTTACCGCTGCATATCTGGACAACTTCTGTTATGTATGACGTCTAGAATTAAGACTATGCATGTCTTGACTTGTCATTTTATGTATATGCATTGCCCAATGTACCGCGCGCAGTTTCCACCGATGCCTTCATTGAATGTCCATGCTACAACCATGTAGTTTTAAAGTTACGAATAAGTCTTTATTTGTCATCTTTATTTGGTTGAACATCAACCTTGAACATTGACGGAACATAATAACACCATTTTGTGATGTTCAAGTACAATCGCTCGTTTTGTTAGTAGGCCTATACAGTCCACAGTCGTGAGACGATTGCTCGTGATACCTTGCACAGGGAGGTACGAATTCTGAGATAATTAAGTTGAGGATAACCGTAGTAGAAGTTACCGTCAAAATTCACATTTCGGAAGAGCATGTTCGGCACGTCATCACCGTCCCCCGAAAAGTGGGGTGACGGGATTACCCCCCACCCGAAACGCACCCTACGCTTAACTAACAAATCTCAATGCTTGTGCGAAATGTTTGTAATGAGGATTTAGTTAGATTTGACAATGTAACGCATATTCCGATGCAGGCTTGTTTATCAGGATTAGACACATCATACCCCATGATACCCCAATATGCCCCTAACCAGGTATCTGCAAACTAACCGAGGAAACAGAACGTTTAGAGTGATTTTATTTCTTCTTCTTCTTCTGTTAAATTCTCATTCTGCAACGCGTATTTTTATAGGAACATGACTGCATAAAATATGTTGCCCATATTTTCACACATCGTTTGCAAAAAAGCAATTTAGGATTACGCGGTAACCTATAGACGACGAAGATACGTCTTCATCTACTTTATGACGACTATCAGAACACCCCCCTCAAAGAATACCCTCCTTATCTGCTTCTGTTTCTACACATCTCGTGAAACCACTTACATCTATATCTGCTTGGAGAACAAAGTCCGAAAATGCGACGATTGCTTGCGTGCGAGATTAAATTAACTAAAGTTCATTACCATGGTATCTACAATTGTACGTACAGTGAATATAAAATATGATAATGAATGAATTACATTACGTGTAAGTGTATCGATAGCGAAGGAGGTCTCGACAATACTTAACAAGTATGGTTATCAAAAATTCGAATTTGAATATTAGGTTTTCCGAACTCAACATGACATTGCCGATTCCAGCTTTGTAGATGTTTATGTGTTGGTCTTTTGATCCCAATTTCTATTTCTATCCCATTAAATAAAAAGATTCATATTTATTTAGAAGGTTGTACTATTACAACAAGCAAATAATGATCTGTCAATCGCAGTAGCTGATTCCACTTCGAAACGAAATTTAATAATGATAGGCCTACCCCTTTGTTGTATAAATAGCTTACTTCAGAGGTCAGATTCAGAGTCATGCTACATGTTATTACCTACTGATAATCAAAGGAATACATGAAATCAAATGTACGTCTCCATCCAAAATTATAGGATCCTATAAAACCTTTATCAATTCTCTGAAGACATATCTCTTCACCACTTCATAAATAATCAGAATCATGAACCCAATGTATTGTTTTATCTTTCATGCAATTTGCTTATGTGTTATGCGCTATATAAAAACTGTTTACATTATTGTTATTATTATCCATGATCCATGGAGGCAGGAAGTGAAACCCCCCTGAAAGGCATGGGATCTCTGATGGGGTCGCCGGAGCTGCTAGCCCAAATAAGCATGACGCCATAATGTTTGTTATCAATGTTTACTATCTCTTGAATCATCGCGCAAACATCTCACATGTATATGCATGTGACATCAAAATGTATATCATCGGTACGAAATTATATTCGTTCGTTCGTGTCTCCTTAGATCAAGATTAATGTAATCTTGGTCTTTGGAGTAGTTGCTACAACCGGCCGTGTCAGACACGTTGCCCCGAGGTGCGAGATAGGACTCTTGTAGCGTGCCCCCATTTAAAACAATTATACAATAACAGTTAACATTACATTTAATTAATAGTATGAAACTATTAAAATTACTCTCATTTTACGGGAAAAAATATGGCATATATATATTATGAATCAATTGATTTAGTCGATCCAGTTCGATGGCACAAACACGGCACTACTGGACAGAGATCCTAATAATTACAGAGCTTGGTCTTGTTGCTCTGTTCGCCAGCAGTTTGAGGATATGGAAATTATATTAACCGCTTGGCATTCATACTACCGTGGAGAATATGATTTTGATGACCCTTAAATAGCATAGATTAATATAGTTAATGATTGTAAGCAAGAACAATGATAGTACATTGATATCAAGAGTAAAGGTCAAATTTACCATTGCTAAGCCCAATTTAATATCTTTCATGTTGGACTATGAGAGAGCCAGTCGGGTTAATTCCACAATTATATGATTAGCTATACCCCCACGCTGCATATTTTAAGGAAAAAAATGAGACCAGGAAAAACATTTCCTGGGAGTGTCTGTAGCTGATAACATCGTTCAAATAGAATCAAGCCGACTCGCCCTCTCATAGTCTAACATGATAACAAACATGATAACTAACAAAAATTACATTATCAGATGATGTTAGTTTCGTGGTAAATTGGAATGAAATATGATAATAACAAGGAAAAATTGCTGTAATATGTTATTTATTCAAAGGAAGTATAAAGAAAAATCGATTTTCACAGAGTCGTCGAAAAGAACTTTGCCGACCGAAATGACATTTATATAAGATTTGCACATTTTACAGAATTTTGGAACGCCCGGACCGAAGTGCCTCTCCATACCCACCGCCCCCCCCCCCCCCACCCACCACCACCACCGCACCCTTCCTCCCTACACTGTTAGAAAAAAATTAAACAAGTTGTTTAAAATTTTAAACAACCCCGAGTTAACAGGTGAATCGCTCAACGTTGTTTAAAAATTAAACAAATTATAAGGTTGTTTACATTTTGAACACTTAGTTGTTTAAAAATTAGGAAACCTTTTAAACAACAGTTGTTTAGTAATAAAATTGCACAACTCGGTTGTTTAAAGCAAGTTGTTTAAATTTTAAACAATAATGTTTAAATTACTAAGCAACTGTTATTTATTCAGTATTACTGCACAACTGGGTTGTTTAAAAGGAGTTGCTTAAATTTTAAACAGAACTGTTTAATGGTTATTATCTGGTTGTTTGAATTTGTAAAATGACCTACTGGAACCACTCCTGCAATAATCACAACGATTTATACACTGTAACATGCAGAGCTTGTTGCCAATTTACTTCAACATTTGTTCATCATATTCATGGCAGTGACAGACAACATTATTATTTGTCTCTATAACTTCACCTAAACCCCATCGGCGAAGCCGAGAAGAACCAAGTCGTCGCCTTGCCCTTGTTCCGCCATTTTCGTATGCACTTGCACTGCACGCTAGCACTGCATGCTTGCATGATGTATTATGTACGTACTTTGTGCATATCGCATGTGTGTGCGCAAATTGCAATCGCGTATTGAGAAAATATCAACGACGCCCCCGGGACTTTTTAAACAACTCTGTTTAATTAAATATATTTGTCTTTTAATACATAGTTGTTTAAGTCAATCGAGCACTGATTTTTCGATTTTGAACAACGTTGTTTACTTTTTTAAACAACATTCTTTTAAACAGTGATATTTTAAACACCGTTCTAACAGTGTATATGTCTATATCAGTTTATCTGACTCAATCTTCACAATCGGTAACATTCGACAACAAAGGCAGTGGTATACATTTATTACATTTTTATATATTTTTTCTCAATAGTTTCCTGTCTGTCTACGATATATATTTTGCATTTCTCTCTGAAAAGTCAATCATACCAAATATTTTTATCTTTAAGCATGTTTTTTAAATATAAATGTATAGTTTCGGGAAATTTGGTTGAATATTCCGACACAATGCATGCTATGACAATATTCCATCAGGTCGGTTAGTAGACTTTCTCTCTTTCTCTCTCTCTCTCTCTCTCTCTCTCTCTGAAGGCGGTGGCTCGATTTTTCATAAATGCCTCCCATATAAAGCTACTATGAGCTGCTCCAGAGATGACGATCGACAATGAAAAGTTAAGAGACACACACAAAAAACATATTATTTAGGGTTGGCATTAAAAATTGAGGTTTGTCAAACGTTCTTACAATTTTCTCAATCTATTTGCTCGCTCGTAATCCTGTCAAAGGCTCGATCGTTATAACATTACATTCACGGTACAATGTTCAGATCATAAAATGCTGCTAGTACTTAATGAAGAAAGTAATAATCAAAACGCATCTACACCACGATAATTATTTTGTTAGAAATTATTTGCCTCTCCAATATAAATCGAATCCTTTGTCTTGATCGTCCATTACAGTATATTATTGAACTGACTCTGCGACACTAAATACATATTTTTTATCCTCCATATCTTTGCCCCAATGGGCAATTTTTATTCTTATGACAAACACACACAAAATCGTATTTTCATTTTATACAAACAATATCAAAACAATATTGTTATACATCATTCGAATACATACTTCAACATAAGCCATCCTAAAGGGAACTCATTTCTGTTTCCATTTTCCCCATTCTTGTTCCATATTTATCATAGAATACATACAGATCATGGTAGTGTTGTCTTTATGATCATAGGATGATCATGGTAATCATTGTCGTATCAATTAGCACAAAACAAAATGATTGATGAAATTATGGGAAGATTAAGAAACAGAAAGTCAGAGAATCATTCACCAACAACTCATCTCCATCTTCCACCCCGTACAGGTAATAGATGAGTAAAAGAAATGGTATAATCATACACCTGCATTTACGCATACAAACATCTAAAGAAGTCTGTCCAGAGCCAGACGGGCATTAATTAACTCCGTATTCAAGTAAACGAGTTAACACCCTTCCGGCTCCAAACAGACGATATTAACGCAAACGCCCACATTCTACTCAAGATCTCTCCATATGCCGCCAAAATTCACTCCATATTGATTTCAAGCGCTAAATCATTTTTATTAAGAGGCTAAAGCTATATGCATCATACCATCACTTATTTTAACGAAGGACTGAAATGATGTAAAAAAAAACGTATACAAAACAACTTACAATCGAAAATATGAAGCTGCAGATCCAGTTCCCTAATTGTTTATAATATTCACCTCTCTGAAGCAGGTGCCCGACTGTTTTTGGTTTATATAAGGTTGATATTCCTGCTTCTATAAATATCCATTAGTGCATGCACAGTCTGTTTCGTTCTCGAGTTTACCTAGGGCCTGTTCACATAAGGGTATTCATTTTTTTCCGAAGGTTCAACATTTCGAAAGGTGCAGTTCCGAAACGCAAATTTCCCATATGTGGAGATTCATATAGGGGTCTTTTTCATTTACGAAACCTTCGGAAGTACGAACCTTCGGAGTAACGAACTTTCCGAAAAACGACATGTAACTGTTCACATTCTCATTAGTTAATGATCTACTAGGAGCTACATCGAATAGTCCAATCGTTTAGAGTCATAGATGTCTGGCTCGAGTGTCGCAAATCATCATGTGCTCCTAAATAGATCAGTTGCTGAAAAATTAAAGTAAACACAGTCGTCAATATTTGATGGACAATTTTTTGCTCCAAACCCTATTCAAAATGGTCTACCAATTTGGCCTACTACCCCTTGCCCTTATGGTAGAAAGATTTTTTTTAAAGAGGGCCCAAGAGGCAATCGCCGGACTATCTGTGGAGGTATAGGAAAAAGTTCTAAATGGATGGGTGATATAAAAACAAATATTGATTATGGGATAGCCAAAGTGAAAGAAATTATATAAAACAATAATAGACGAATTAGTGAGTGATGGAACAGCAACATCCCCACTTACCCTTCCCCTTTATTCAAACGACGCACCAGGCCCCGGCACCCACTTCGAGGAGCTGAAGTATGCACCGCGTTTTTAACATTCATATACTTTAAAAGTAACAAGCCGAGTTGGTTGAGAAAATCAACATTGAAAAATGTTAAGAATTCGAATTAATTTACCTGATTTTAAAAGATGGATAACCATAATTATATACCATATTTGATTTTTCTTTACATTATTTAGTGCAGATATATTTTTAAGCTTAGATTTATTTATTTTGCGATTGATAATTCAACAGCATCATTATCGTCATAAATCGCTAGACGATTTGAATGGGGGTTTTCGTACCAAATTCGCCAACAAGATAGCCGAAAGTTTTTTAACTTGCAAAAGGGTGGATTTCATCAACGCCCATTTTTATAAATGTTATGACTATGATGAATACTAATATTTTAATGTATGAATAAGTTGCAGCTGTTTGCAAAAAGAACAGCGCTGGAACTGGCAAAATGAGATAAGATACATTGTGATTGGGTGGGGTTTCGTGACCCCTCCAATGGAAAAACCAGGTACATAGTACACATAGGTTACTTAATATGTGTGCAATGTACCGTTTTTTCCGTTAGAGGGTCATTACTGCACTAATGTATTTTGGGGAGGTAAGGGAAAGGTGATGTCATTTTAATTGATTACGATATGTTATATAAAACTCAGTAAGCCGAATTGTTTTCTGTAATTTTATTGAAAAGGGTGTTTTATAATCATACTTTTTCATAATTACCTTGCCCAAGGCATGAAGCTTAAAATTGAATATGCTTTTTAATGCATTTTCCCTGTTGTTATTGCTCTTGTTTTTATTGTTACTTATGTTTCTGTCGAAACCACTGAAAGGTTAGTATTTGGGCACAATTTTCATTTAGGGTTGATAGTGCTATTTCACCAATTTTTTTCTTCTATCCCCCAACTGAAAAGTACCACGCGTTTATAATGAGCCTTGTTTCATCTTGTACATTTTTAAAGCTAATTTGAGCCGAGAAAGTGCTCAAATAATATATTACATTTAAATGTTCTTGCCATAGTTTGTAGTGTGGGAATGAAAACTACTTTCACTGAGAGGTTCTCAATATTTGACTTTTTTCCACAAGCTTTGGCTTATACATTACTTCTGTGAACCTATAATCATAGTCTATCTCGGCCTGAATTTATTTTTTCATCTTTGATAGATCTGTTGCTATCAAAATGTTTCATTACGATACAACCAGAGACGTAAATCATGAGACATTATATGTACTTGATATACAACGGGATATTATATAAAGACATTATAGAATATAATAAACGTCTTGAATGTTGGGTTTCTAGAAAAACAGGATACTAAACAGTGAAGGAGGGACAACATGGTACATTTCCGACAAATTGTGTAACGGCTATAATGATATATTTCATCAGTTTGTCATGCTGAAAATAAAGATAAATTACGAATTTGCTTTCTTGAATAAGATGAATGTAAGTTTCCATTCCCCAAATTGTTCGCCGCTTGGAATTTCCATAACCTCTGAGTCACTAGGGATAATAATCTTGTTTGACTTACGTTAGTTGATAAAATGCATTTCATATCGCTGTTCATAGTCCAAGTGCATAAACAAGTAGCGAGATAAAGGCCTGTCTTAAAGTTTATTATTATTTCGTTTACAGAGACAATGATGTTCGTCTATATGTACTGGGTCAATAAGTTTTTAACTCAATAATAATTTATACCGCCTTTATTTGCTTATGGCCCAATATCTATAGAATTTCTACTTTTAATTTGAATGCGATTGAGTATAAGTGTCTTCATTGATTAATAAAGGAAAGATGCCATGCATTGGGCTCGTGGAATGATGGCAATACACAAGAAACGTACAGCAGCTTTGATGCTACATTAGGAGCTTAATTTATTTAATTATTTTTTAATTCTGACATTGATTATTGTAATCTTTTAGATTGATAAGAATCACTTCACTGTGTCGAAGGGCAACTCGATAAAAATCTAGGTACGAGTATTGACATTACCTAAACATAATTTATATGTCGATTGTAAATGTTATTCACTTATAAAAAAAAAACTCAACCAAATCTGGAGGTTATTTTACTGGTACACAACACACACACATACCCTATAGCTCCCTCTCTATCCATTCCAACCCTATCTCTGAATATATCCATCTCTTTCATCCCCCATCCTATCTCCGCCACCCCTCCCCCTTTTCCCCACTCTCTCTCTCTCTCTCTCTCTCTCTCTCACCGCACAAAAATATACGCAGACACCCTTGTTTCTTTCTCTCTCCCTCCCTACCCATTCCAACCCTATCTCTCAATATCTCCATCTCTTTTCCTCTCCCATCCTGTCTCCCCCCCCCCCCCCCTCTCTCTCTCTGCAAAAAGGTTGAAATCTACAGGAAAGCAAGAAGAATCTTTGGAAAAGTAGCGTAATATTTAGATGAGACCTGATATAAATCTCTAATCCACAATATTTAATCTCACATGTACAATCGGTAAATTATTGAAGAGGACTTCACTGCACTCTATTTAACAGATCATAAAAATTTCAGAGAATTTCTATAAAAATAGCTTTACATGTACCACATGTTTATAGACTATTTTTGTAATGTAATTATATTTAATGCATACCTGACTAAACTTGAATACACTTTGAAAATGGTCTATTGAAGTCATAGTAGTGCAATTTCGTTGACTTTGCAACAGCATTGTACCACACTATTAGAATAACAACTTTTCAAAACATTTTAGCCTTTTGGGTCATGTAGGCCAGACATATTCCAGCATTACTTAAATAAAAAGAATGTGGGCTGGATGGTGTATAAACCTCTGTTTCTATTATTGGCAAATGCTCCAAGCCCTAGTCATGGTATAATACATGATCGTGTGCATTGTTATTACAATTTTAGCTGGCTGTGATTTCAAAATAGGCACAACATAATTAAGAAGGAATTTTAGGGGGGTGCTTAGCAGGTGGCAGAAAAAATGAATGAAAATGTTCAAAAATAAATTGTGATACATTTCTAGATCAATAATTATATTACACAATAATAACAACAATAGCCCCAGTTGTATAGCATTTAATACAATGTCTCTACGTGCTGCTTGTAAGTGTCGGCTTGCATGGTGATGTAGATATACAGTAGGTTTGCGGGTGCACCATGTGAGAGAGAGAGAGGGTTGAGGAGTCCTGAAAAGGACTCTGACTCGGTAATCTTTCTTGGGGGTGTGTAGTCCTGAAAAGGACTGTTGTTATATGCTAAGAAAGATAACAACAGTCCTTTTCAGGACTACACACCCCCAAGAAAGATTATCGAGTCAGTCCTTTTCAGGACTCCTCAAACCTCTCTCTCTCACATGGTGTACCCGCAAACCTACTGTATGTCTCTACATGTTTTACATTGCAATCATTATTACCCGGGCATTGGATTTATTCGCTAATCCGCACATGATAGTGCAATTGCTCCGCTTCCTAGGAAGTATTCCATCTCGGTGGCCTTTTACAAGCACACACATGCCAATCCAACCACATTAATGCTTGCATCCAGTGACAAATGAAGATTAATGTCTTGCCAAAGGACATTAATAGTGTATCGGGACTCGAACCATGAACCATGTGATCACAGTCCGGTGATGTATTCACTAGACCACGACATCTTTAAAAACAGATTAAATAGATGATAGTTAGTATAGACCCATACTCCTGTACAGAAGTTAATATGCATTTGTATGTCATGGATTGAATTATAAAAAAACATTCATGTAGTTAAATATCAATTTGGAGAACTGTCGCATGTTGCATTTCATTGTCACCCCTACGGCTTCCAAGCTATGTGACATAGATAATATCTAACATATACAGATGAGTAAAATATAGAACAGAGGATCATCACAAGATGCTGCATGCAAATAGCTACACACATATTAAACAATTGAAAAGACTTGTACAGACTCAGTCTACTTAACTGCATAGCATATGGTTGTTCTGACATTCATTACCTTTGATCTGTTGTTGTTCTTGGTAAAGAAAAGGTGGTTAGAGTGTAAAATTGAAAAAGGATTTTATGGCCTCATATTTGAAATAATTCACATATTTGTTCCCTTACGATGGGTTTTTTTACTTTACTTGCGAGTTCCATTGGTGCATGCACCTGTACATAAATGCATTATTTATTTTAGTGCATGTTATTTTCAGCAAAGGTTCAGGTTTTGCATAATATGATTCATCCTGAACAAACTACAAATTCATGGTGATATTCC